TTATTTTTTAACATAGTCACCGTTAATGCTGAAACATTTCTCCCAATGTGTAACAAGTTTTTTCATACCATCACTGAAAAATTCTTCCAACTTTTCTCGAATACAGGACTTGACAGCTGCCTTCACCTCATTGTCCGAGGTATAATGATCACCCTTAAGGTCTCTCTTGAGTAGAGGAAAATAATAAAAATCGCAAGGCGCAAGATCAGGGGAATAAGGAGGGTGTGGAATCGGTTCAAACTTCACATTTCGCAGAGCCTCTCCAGTTGCGCGCGAGGTGTGTGGACGAGCGTTGTAATGCTGCGAAATTATTGGCACCAGGCTGCCTCTAACATGACAAACTGAACATTGGAGGTGTTTTAGAGTCCATATGTACTGAAAAGAATTAAACATTGCAACGAGGGGCAACGGTAATTGTGTGTAGCAGTGATCGGACGTCTGCTGCGTGTTTCATCAACAATTATGGCTTTTCCAGGCTCGCGACCACGAAATTTTATTATCCATCGATTTACAGTCAACCTATCAACAGCATTGTCATTATAAACAGTCTTTTAGTGACGATGAATCTCAGGAGGAGTCACTTTTTCAGCAGTTAAAAATTGGATAACAGCATGCTGTTTAACTCACATTGACATAGCACTAGAACACGTCTCCATATTTCCGCTTCTCAAAATATACTGAATGAACGCAACAACCTCAAACTGCACATACGCATAGAGGGGGAGTGTTGCTTCCATATGCCACCTGGTGCACTTCTGAAAATCATTTCATTCGCGCTATACAAGCATGTGTGCATTACTTTTCAGCCTACCCTCGTAAAAATGATGAAATCGAAAAACGATTTTTTGTTAAAGTCCAGGTTCTCACACTCACATTATAAGTGAACAAATTATAAAAGAATTACAGAATGTTCCTAACAATGATTCAGATAGTGGAGAATTGATTATGACAACAATGATTTTGATTATTTTTTTGTACCTGATGATCTGATAAATAAGTCTGGAATTTATGAGACTTCTAGTTACTTAGAAAATAATTGTGACATTACTAACACAGTCTTTTCTAGTCAAAAAATATACTTCATGGGCAAAGCATGATTGAGTTTGGAATCATAATGTTTCTCACAGAGGCACTAAGCATTCAGGACATAAGATTTTCTGTGTGACAAATTTTGATACAAAAGTTGATGATGATGATCAATATATTGCACCAAACAACAGTTTATGACATAACAATCAATATTTATCAAGCCAAAAAAAGAATATGTATCTTTGTTTTCTTTAATCCTGCAGTAACTAAAGAGATTTGTGAAAACAGAACACCTGAACCTTATTATATTATAAAAACACAATTTATCGTGCTGATATTCTAAATAATAAGGTCATGTTATATATCAAAACATTGTCTAAAAATGCCCTTTGAATTCTTTTTGTAATATACTAACTAGATTTAGTTTCAATATATGCATATTTATACAATTTATGCTTGAAGAAAATTTATACAGAAGCTCATTGAAGTAGTTGAAGAATAATTTATCTTCATTTTTCAGCACTGTCTAGTAAAGAAAGGACAATGTTCTCAAACAAATGTAAGAAAATAACAATTGTTAGAAAATTACAAAAAAAAAAAATAGATGGTCATTAAACAAAATGCTTGCCTGAATTTTGTATACATACAAAACTTGTCATTATTATGTAAATTGTTTAAAAATAAACAAAATTTTTATTCAATTTATTTTTATAAATCCATTTTCAAAACTTGAAATACTCAAAAACTTCAAATTATTACAAAATAAAATGTGAGAACTGGATTTAACTGTAGGGGACAAATTGTCCTCTTTGGATGGTCTAGGGCAGTTTTTTCAATCTGTGGGTCGCGACCCCCAGAGGGGTTGCAAAGCCTTACACGAGGGGTTGTGGATTAAAAAAAAAAAAGACAAGTGTTTGTGGGTCCTACACTACAATAAAAAAAACTATAATTTCAGTGAGAAGGCTGTGCCTGTTTATTTTACAGTACAATTGGTTTTTCTATCAATATTTAAAGAAAGAAAATTAAATATGTAGTTTTTAAAATCACTGATATAGTTTTAATATGGCCCTGGGGGTCGCCAGAATTTTTTAACTTGTAAAGGGGTCGCGTATTCAAGAAGGTTGAAAAACACTGNTAAAAAAAAAGTAAACGAAAAAATGTATAATAAAGTTGTGATTGTTGCAAGGAACATATTTTACCTAATAATTTTTTAATACTATTAGTTTGTGATACATAATATATTATTTTTTCTGCCATAATAACTAACTTTTTTCTGTACCCCTAAACAACCTATCGCGTACCCCTAGGGGTACGCGTACCACAGGTTGGGAATCGCTGGTCTAGGGTAAAGAAAGTCTGGGTGTTTTAGTGTTAAAATATTTAAGTAATCAAAATATTAGTAATATATACTAGTTTTAGAAGTTAGAGTTGCAAAATAATTCAACATATTCAGATTTCTCATCTTTTAGATACATTCGAAGTTTTGTTTTATATTCAAAAACTTTTGTCAATATATTTCTTGAAATGTGTAATCTCTTTAAGGTAAAGAATTTTATAAACTTGTATCTTTATGTATTGTTTGAAAAATATGAGTTTGTATTGCTTTTTCCTTTCATGAAATTCACAACTATAATTATAGTCCAAAATGGAATTCAATTAGAATATAGATTTGTAAGGTAATATGGTAGTATAGGAAACGGTGCATCCATGTAGCATTTGATATTGTTTTTTGATCTTGCAATGACCACTTTGACATCCTGTTGTTCCTTGGTGTTTTCAGAGTATATGGAAATGCACTTTGTCCAGTCAGTATCATACATTGCATAAATCATTTTGAATAAAGTATTCCCAGTTGTGTTAGTTTCTAGTGTTTTCCAAAATAAATTGTTTTGAATAGTGTTCTTTGCATCATATCGTTGAAACTTACAAATAATCATTGACATCAACTCAATTAAAAATATCTAGATTTGTCAACTGTAAAGAGACATCTACTAATTTTTTCTAAATTTTAGTTTTTCTAATTTTATTGAGAAGTTGATTTGCAAATATTGTTGATCATATCATAGATTTTCTATTGCATTGTGTTGTCAAACATAAAAATAATTTTGAGTTTTTCATTTTTTGTATCATTTTTACCAAGTCAACAAGCTGATAGTGTAAAATTAGAATTTAAACAATTGCAGCTTGCCTTCTTTTAAAAGACAAAATGCAACTTAATTTTTTGTTTGCACTGGATACCTGAGTAATATTTTATTACTGATGGAGAAGAGCTTTCAATATTTTTTGAAAAGACAAACCTTTCAAAATTTTTTGGATGTTTGTAATACAGTGGGCCCACTGATGGCCAAGCAGTTCTATTCCCTGAACACTGGAAGTTTGCTTGTGGGGTTCGTGCCTTGATAGAATGGGCTGGCCACGTTGTGTTTTCTGGGTTTTCTCCGTGTCTGTAATGCCCGAATAAAGGCCAGTTACCCTTAAAAAGATCTCCTGGAAGGCATCCCCCTAGGCAGATTGCCCAAGTGTTGCATTGCCATAACTTAATAAAACAAACAATTGTAATATGGTGGCTTCATACTTTCTTGAGATAGTACTTCGCTGTAAATTCCACTGTTGTTTATACTTAGAAATAACCATGAAACCACACAAGATAATTTTTATTATAAAGTCCCGTTTTTTAATGATGTAGAAGGTTCCTCTGATGATTAACAAGAGATTAAACAATTTGGCCAAAAATAGGAGATTAAGCCATTGCTCTGTGTAAATGTTATCATGTAATGATTTTTTTTAAAAACTTATCCGTGATTAGAATGAAATAATCATTGACATCAACTTTTACCAGTTTGTCTAATGCTTACTGCACATGTTGGTCTTGAATAAAATTTAGAAATGTCTTGCACTTCATTTCTAGCTTATTAAGTATGGGCAAACCATTGGTATTTCTGGAAGACTCTAGTAAGTACACTAGCAGCAATATAATAAAACTGTCTGCTATTTTGTTTANACATAAATTGATTGCTTATCTATCAACCATAGTATCATTACTTATTTTCAACTGTCAGAGCTTAACAAAGTTATTGTGAAAATAGAATGTTTGTTGTTTTATGAAATTCACATAGCACATGCATACTTTAATCTAAAATTTGAGAATTAACTTACCAGTAGCAACAAGTTAAATTGCAATTAAGATTTGAAAGTTAAATCAAGAATTAATGCACAGTGAAGATTGATTTTAACTGAACTCTTGGTTTAAATCTTATTCCAGATTTACGCTGAGTTGGTGAACACAGCTGATAATAGAATCTATGAGAGTTGATTGAATTAAACCTTAGTTTGTCCTCCATTGTATTTCAAATATTGTATTGCTATCTTTTAATGTTTTTGCATCTATTTCAGTAGATATGTTTTTTAATAAAAGATCAGATTTGAGCCAGTTTAGAGACCCAAAATTCATTTTCAGGCATGCTCCATTTTATTAGTAGGCTGCTATTATCAGTTTAGACAGGTTTCAAAGTGACTATAACAAAAGGCTTCTATTGTACTAAATAAATACATTGATTCAACAAAATATCAACATCAAATCTGTAATATAAATATTTGCATATATGATGATAACTTATTTTAAAAGCTCAGATTGCAGATGTTATAGGCTGAAATTTGATCCATGCTAATTTTATTTCTAAACTTCTGTAAATTATTTGGCTGTTCAAATAAATTTGGAAAAAACTATAGAAGCTGTGCAGTTGATATGCCAATACTTAATATATTATTATACAAATATAGTATATTTTTTATAAATATTTAATATATTGTATAAAAATCTCCTAGGTATATAATACTCTTCACTTCTCTATGGAAATAAGAGTATTAACCAATTATCTTATATATGTTAGAACGTCTGAATATTTTGGAAAGATAACAAGAATTTAATACTTAGTTCAAATTAATATTCTAATAAATAGTTTTTATTACAGGTATGCAAGCATTTTTTAGTGAAATTTTGCCCTAACGAACTCTTTATAAATACAAAAGCAGATTTAGGACCTTGTAGTAAAATACACGATGAAAATATGAAGAAAGAGTAAGTTATTGCTTATTCAATTTTTTATTATTATTTAAATATTTAAAAGTAGAGGAGATCAGATTTATTTTATAAAATGTTTACTGTATAGATCAGTATTAAAAAATATGGATACTTAATATAAAAAATAGATATACCATTACATTTTGATGATAACTCTAATTTTTTTTTTAAATTATCAAAATGAATTTGATAAATTTTAAAAATTGAATTAAGAACAATATTGAAATTAGATCTGTTCAATTTTGAATTTTAGAAACTGAAAATTAAGCTTAAGACTCTTTTTCACATACAGTTGACCCCCCTATAACATGGTAGATACGTACCGGTTTTTATGAATCCATTTTCTACGAGTCCAGCCAATCATAGCTCGGCACATATGCAGTTTACGACTACGGCTGTTTGAAAGGTTTCTTCCATAAAATTAATCGATTCTAGACTAATTTGACTCAACATTTCCAAAATATGTATAATTTTTTGGGAATAATCCATATAAACTATGCTATAAACAAAAAATTGAAGGATTACTTAACAAGTATGCACCGTTTGATGGCGCCATTGCTTAAGCTTGTTTTCGTCGTGGAGCTTGTCATCAAATGGCGCTCATGTGCTTCCTGATAAATTATTTTTTTTTGCGAAAAATTCACTGAACTTTGGAGACATCATTAATATAAATATAATTTTTATGGACATTAAATAATAAATGGTTTTTAGTAGGTCTGCTGCTCGTTTAAACTCAAC